GGGGCGCTTGATAAATATTCGTTAGATAAACCACGCGCTCATTCTGGGTACTTGAAATAATATTCTTTAAAAAATCCACGCCTCTTTATGGACCTCGAAAAAATTATGGTTCTTAAAAAATCTACACTTTTCATGGTTATCTCCATCCATTCTTTCATCGCTAATTGCTGTTATGTTAAATAATTTTATGTCAAATTAAAATTCCTTGAATACCTGGAAACAAATTGACAAATATTACCTTTTAACCAAGAAAACAAACATGTCAATTTTCATTTCAAATCAAGGTCTTCAAAATAAACAAAGCAAAGCTGGCAGTCGCATTACAACTCAACAACTTTCGTTGATTAATGGCTTTCTGGCAACCTCAAATTTTCACAAAAATTTTACACAATTAAATGTCAATGAAGATGACGGTGAAGATGACATTTAGGTTGATATGTGGTGTGTGCGTGTGTGTTACATCAATTCACAAATTCTCAGATGGATATGCTTCACATCCATTCGCGTACCTCAAACATTTCATCACGGTGGCCTGCTTCTTCGAAGCGCGGTTGGTTGACTGTGTTTAGATAAAGTGGCTAAGATTGCTCACTTGTCGTTGTTAGGTGGAATTTTAAAACTCACATGCATGTGTGTGTGAGTGAGTGACTGTGTGTGTTTCATAAGGACAATTCAACGTGAAAACCCAAAAACAACATTGACTACTATTTAGCCAACAACAAGCCTTGTTAATGCCTGACACACCTGTTCCACATACACACACTTATTCACTCGCACACACATACATATGTTTGTTGAGGATCCATTCATCTTCGCTTTATTGCTTGATTTCACATATGTGCCCACCACACCCACCATTCCGACTCCTTGGAGTGCCACTTAAAATGTTACCAAGAGTAACAATTGGTCGATTTATGTTAAGTGACTGACGGTGGTTGTTGACTTTCATCGGATTCGGGTTTTGTACATTTGAAAGGTAAATCGCATTGTAAATTTTATAAAAGTCCCAGCAGGAGTAGAACAGAGGGGGTGAACTGTGAAATTTGTAATTTCATGTCGTCGACAATAATTTGCAATTAGGCAGTAGAGTATTTATTTAATATCGTCATGTGTGGTTGTCAAAGAACATCTAAGGAATTTTATTAAATACTATTGAGAGCGGTAGTAATAATTGTACAAATAATTTTGGAAAATTTTAATAAAATTCTGAATTAATGAATACTGATTAAAAAAAGAAATATTTTTTTAAGGAATATGTTTAAAAGTTTTAAAAATAATTTTTAATTTGTCAAATAATTTTCTCCAAGGACTATCAGGTCTATAGGCGTGGATTTTTAAAATATTTTTTTCCAAGGACTATCGGGTCTATATGCGTGAATTTTTAAAATATTTTTTTCAAAGGACTATCAGTTCTATAGGCGTGGATTTTTAAAATAATTTTTTCCAAAGACTATCAGGTCTATAGGCGTGGATTTTTAAAATAATTTTTTCCAAGGACTATCAGGTCTATAGGCGTGGATTTTTAAAATAATTTTTTCCAAGGACTATCAGGTCTATAGGCGTGGATTTTTAAAATAAATTTCTCCAAGGACTCGCAAGTCTATAGGCGTGGATTTTTAAAATAAATTTCTCCAAGGACTCGCAAGTCTATAGGCGTGGATTTTTAAAATAAATTTCTCCAAGGACTAGCAGGTCTATAGGCGTGGATTCAGGATCAGAGCTATGTCCTTTTGTCTTCTTTTCTTCGAAAAAGGACTTCATTCCATAAAATAGTGATGCAGGTGGGAGTTGCATCAACAAAACCTTGTCCATCACACCACTTATTTATCTGCAGCTTAAAAGTGTTTTCACTGCTATGTAAAGAGTTGCTTCGTTGTGTTGGAAGTATTCTCACTAAACGGTGTTACGACAAGTAGTTGAGGGCTATTAGAGGATTTATTTAGAGCAGACAGAAACAACAACATCAACAGCAGCTTTGAAACTACATTGAAAGGCTGTGCAACAACAATTAGAAGTGCAGTTATTTACCACTTCTACCACTAACACAAGGATAATAGTACTTGGAGACTTACTGCTGATCCACAGACAGTGGAACAATCTTGATAAGGAGTCGATTTTTTTTTTTTTTTTGAGGGAACAATTTCTCTTTCACTTGAGTTTTAAGTGTTCTTTAAAAACATATTTTTAAATAAAGGATCTTTATTTCAAAATTACTCAAAAAATAACTCACTGTTGCAATGCCTTTAATAACGGTAATTTAGCTGAAGTTCTACACTAAACAATGAAATCAATCCCACAGATAGCAAGGACAAAGAAGCAAACAATTTGTTTTCCAAAGGCTTAAGTAACATCATGACATGCAGTCGGTCATAGAATTTTTCTAAAGCGACAATTGTTGCTGCAAAACAATATTTCAATGGATGCAAGGTGAAAGTAATCTCACATAAAAGAGGAAGGTAATTTAGCATATATACGAAGCGAGAATGCAAATATTTAAAACTATTTTCTAAAGGGGAGGCTTAATTTATATATGGTTCTTTTTCAGAATGAAATCTAAATTTTTAAAATCCTAGTTTCAATTTTATGAATCCTTGCTTCTTGCAAGTCTTCTCCAAAAATGTCCTTTAAATAATTTATCCAATACGAAAGAAATATTTGTTAAAAAGCTACGCCTGTCTGGGTCCCAAGAAAAATTAATCTCTAAAACATTTAAGGGGACCCCCCCCCATTCTCGGGGTCAAAATTTTTGTTGATATAATTCGAATGTACACTGATTAAAGAATGTCTCTACAAAATTTCAAGTGAAAATCTCAAGAACTGTTGAAGATATATCCGATTTAGTGTGTCAGCATCAAGTGACGGCTAAAGGGTTTCTCAAACTTTAAACGCGTTTTTCTCTAAACATTTTTTTGCGAATGGCGGGCACGATAACTCAAAAACTAATAATCCAATCGGTTCCAAATTTTGCATCGTTTCTCTGGGAGTGTATAGCTCTCGTATGAACTAGGATAAAGCCAATCGGTGAAGATCTTCCTTATTTTTTAATTTGGTTTTTGGTCAAAAATCGGCGATTTTCCAAAAATATTTTTTCAAAGGTCCACCATTTTGTTAATTTTAGAGCGAAGTCAATAATCCTAGTTCATACGAGAGCCAGACATGTACTCTTTCTAACACCGTTGGAATTTTCGGATTCCGATGTTCCATGTTATCATGCCCGCCATCAAAAATAAGGACTTTTCTTTAATTACAAAAAACAACAACAAAACAATAACAAAAATTGTTTGTAAATTATTTTTCTTCTTTTTTAAATCTTCAATTATATATGTGCAAAGTTACAAACCTTAACAAGCATTGGTATTGATTTACCAGCCCATTGAAAATCTTAAAAAATTCAAATCGAGAATGGGGTGGGGGGGGGTTCCCTTAAACCTGCCTGGGCCCCAAGAAATAATAATATTTACAAAATCTTAAAATATCTACGCCGGTTTTAGTCCTTGAAAAAATATTGTTTACAAAATCTACCCCTGTCTTAGTCATTGAAAAATATTCTTTACAAAATCTACGCCCATTTTAGCCCTTGAAAATATATTCTTTAAAAATCCTTACTTTTGTTGGACCCGTGAAAATATTCTTTATAAAGTCCACACCTTTCAATTACTTACTTACGTACTTAGCTGGCCTGTGACAGAACTTTCGTTCCATAAGCAGCCGAATTCATGTCTCGTTTCATGACAGCTATAATACAGGGCGTAATCATCTGATTTACTTACACCAGTCCCTTTCCATCGCATTTCCTGTAAGGTAATAATATCGGCTTTGTACTTCTTGAGTAGATCCGCCAAAGCGACTGTTATGTACAACGTGCGCACATTCCAAGCAAATTCGCAGATCGTGGTCCTTTATACGTTTGCGGGGGTCGTCAACATTAGGGGGGTTTGGTTTTCTTGGTTTTCTTTTTCTTTGCTTTTTCATGGTAGGTTGGGTTTTCCGAGAGTGGACAACTAACCCGACGCCTCAACCCATTTTTTATAGTTCTTATGGGTGTAATCGCGGCACATATTAGCTCACTATTTCATCGGGTGATGAAAATAGCTGTACCAGGTGACACCGCGGGGAGGTCTGAGATGAAAGAGGGATCAAGATAAGCCTGGACTTCGCCATGTTAAAGCCAATCAGAGCCGTTGGTTGGTATCTATCCTTTTGATTGTCCTTGAAAAATCCACGCCGTATGATGTCCTTGAAAAATCCACCCCCATTGATGTCCATGAAAAATCCACGCCTTTTGATGTCCTTGAAAAATCCACGCCTATTGATGTCTCTGAAAAATCCATGCCTATTGATGTCATTGAAAAATCCACTCCTATTGATGTCCTTGAAAAATCCACGCCTATTAATGTCCTTGAAAAATCCACGCCTATTGATGTCCTTGAAAAATCCACGCCCATTAATGTCCTTGAAAAACATTCTTTAAAAAATCCAAGCCTATTGATGTCCTTGAAAAATATTCTTTAAAAAATCTACGCCTATTGACGGTCCTTGAAAAATATTCTTAAAAAATGTACACCTATTGATGGGCCTTGAAAAATATTCTTAGAAAATGGTCGTCCTTGAAAAATATTCCTTAATAAACCCACGCCTATTGATGACCTTTGAAAAATATTTTTTAAAAAATACAAAAACACTATTATCGATTATCCCTGACAAATATTCTTTAAAAAATCAAATTTGACATACATATGTGTTTATTTGTCATCTTACGCCATAAAAGGAACATGATAAAGTTATTTTTCTTATTTCCGTTATTGACATACGAATATCTACTCTTTGGAATCAAAATCGAAAAATCCTTGCTACTCCTTGTAACTTTATGTTTGTTGTTGTTTATTTACTCCACATCTACATATATCTTTTTTCATTTGAAGTTATGCTATTTCCTGTTTATTTGAAGTTTATGACACAATCTGAACACTTTTCCCTCATCTTCTTCTTCTCTTTTGCAGCATTGTAACCTCATCGAAATCCTTTATGAAGGCAAGCTCAAGACAAGATTTCATCAAATTGCCACTGCAACAAGTGAAGAAAATCGATAGATGGGATTCATTGCGTGGTTCAACATCCGATACCTTTACCGAAGAGAATTTTGGACCGTTATCGAATGTGAGGTAAGTAAAAAGGAAGCAAATGCAATGAAATCATATTGATATGAAATAAATATAATAAAACGGAAAAAGTCATGTTCGCATGATTTTTAAAGGATACTTGTGTTTTATTTGCAGTTGAAATAGGAGGGATATATCAGAATGGATATAGTGATATTTGGAGAAATATAGTTGCTTTATTTTTTTGTTGCCTTTTTTTATATATGTGCTTCTTGTATTTATTTGCACTTTTTGTGACCTATGACTGGGAGAACAGATTTACTTTGGTGTTTTCACAAAGGCTTTAACAAAATGGGGAGAAAATGATTGTTTTATGTGGGATCAAGGATCTTGATATATATCTAATAAAAAATAAGAGCTAGACATTGATAATCAACTTTACCTTTTGTCATAATCAAAAAAAAATCTGAAAGGTAGTTTAAAACAAAACAATTTGTCCTTTGTGAGCATTCAAATATCTCTTCGTATTCAAAAGTTATGAGCAATCCAATTTTATATTCATATCCTCTAGTTTTTGCAACCCTGGCAATAACACATCGTAAGCGCCATCTGTAGAGCAAGTGGTAAATTTAAAGGTTTTTTTACCCATAACTTTGAAACCCCTTAAGATTTAGAAAGTAATTAGGTGTCACAGGAATTGTGAGAAAGTTGGCTTCTTTACGGGACAAAGGGTCACAAATGGGTAAATAGTTTATTTTACATTTTACACTATTTTTGGGCGGGACAATATATAATTTAAATATTAGAATTAAAGAGGGAGTTTGTATAGATATCTTCCCGATCATTATTTATAATTTAGAGCGGTGGCTTAGTGGCTAGACGAAATGTACTCAAAATGTTTTTTCAGAAGCCAGAAGAGGAGTGGATTTATTAAAAATAACTTTTGCAGAAGCCAGAAGAGGTGTGGATTTTTTTCAGAAACTTAAAAAGGTCTGGCTTTATTAGCAATATTTTTTTCACAAGCCAGAAGAGGCCTGGTTTTATTAAGTATAATATTTTCAGAAGATAGAAGAGGTGTTGATTTATTCAAAATAATTTTTCCTTGGACCAGAAGAGGCGTGGATTTATTCAAAATATTTTTTTGTCAATACCTAAAATAGGCGTGGATTTATTCACAATAATTTCTTTCAGAAGCTAAAATAGGCGTGGATTTATTCACAAAAAAATTTTTCAGGTCCTAAAATAGGCGTGGATTTATTCAATATAATTTTTTGTCAGGACCTAAAAAAGGCCTGGATTTATTTAAAATATTTTTTTTCTGGACCTAAAATAGGCGTGGATTTATTCCAAAATAATTTTTTGTCGGGACCTAAAATAGGCGTGGATTTATTCAAAATAATTTTTTGTCGGGACCTAAAATAGGCGTGGATTTATTCAAAATAATTTTTTGTCGGGACCTAAAATAGGCGTGGATTTATTCAAAATAATTTTTTGTCGGGACCTAAAATAGGCGTGGATTTATTCAAAATAATTTTTTGTCGGGACCTAAAATAGGCGTGGATTTATTCAAAATAATTTTTTGTCGGGACCTAAAATAGGCGTGGATTTATTCAAAATAATTTTTTGTCGGGACCTAAAATAGGCGTGGATTTATTCAAAATAATTTTTTGTCGGGACCTAAAATAGGCGTGGATTTATTCAAAATAATTTTTTGTCGGGACCTAAAATAGGCGTGGATTTATTCAAAATAATTTTTTGTCGGGACCTAAAATAGGCGTGGATTTATTCAAAATAATTTTTTGTCGGGACCTAAAATAGGCGTGGATTTATTCAAAATAATTTTTGTCGGGACCTAAAATAGGCGTGGATTTATTAAAAATAATTTTTTTCAGGACCTAAAATAGGCGTGGATTTATTAAAAATATTTTTTTTCAGGACCTAAAATAGTCGTGGATTTATTCAAAATAATTTTTTTAGGAACTAAAATAAGCGTGGATTTATTCAAAATAATTTTTTTTTCAGGACTTAAAATAGTCTTGGATTTATTCAAAATATTTTTTTTGTCAGGACGTAAAATAAGCGTGGATTTATTCAAAATATTTTTTTGTCAGGACGTAAAATAAGCGTGGATTTATTCAAAATATTTTTTTTTTGTCAGGACGTAAAATAAGCGTGGATTTATTTAAACTATTTTTTTGAGGAGCTAGAGAAGACGTGTTCAATTATTATTTGTGGTGGCTGCACAGCCTACCCAAATCGACTATACTGCTTTGTTTACATTTATGAAAAATATTAGCCGATATTTTAAATATCTTTCAACATTCACATAATGCTAATTTTCTCTTATATAACATAAATTTATATATGCATTTCTAATATGGAATAACACTTTAGATCTCCCTCGAACCATTGCTGCAAAATTTATCAAAATCGGTTAATTATTCGCTGAGTTATTTGCATTTGAATTCAACGATGGTCCGAAATATCCCTGCTGTCCGGTGCTGGGCGCCTATTACCTGAAAATGAAAAATGCACCAAAAATTGATTTTTAAAAACGGGTCATTTTTCGTTCATGATGGCTGTTGTTTTGTAAAGGAAATTAATTAAAGCATACTTTTAGGTCAATGACAGTCTATATGTATGCAAACCGATTATTAGTTGATTGTTTTAAACACAAATCGAATGTAAATATAACTTTACATGCAAAGTACAAAAGTTGGTTGGAGACGTCTGTGTGATACCCTACACCATTTTGGGAATATATAAACAAGAGAGAGATGTTCCTACGATTGTTATTTTAACCCCTGCAGTAATGTTTATTTATATCGATTAAACCCGTCCTCAACAAATTGTACTTTTTTCTAATATTTTTGGTTGTATGTGTACTATATCCTGTCGATTGCCCAGCCGTAACATCTTTGAGGGTTCTGCCCCCATTGACAGATATCGGAAGATGTTAAATATGTGATCTATACTTACATATATACGAACCGAATTCAATCAATCCATACAACTGTCATTCGGCAATCAATGTTAAATTTCCTGTCAATCTGGCAGACATAGGGCCTTTGGTGTACCACAGCTAAGTAATCGGACAAAATATATATGAGAGCTATATATAAATCCTGATTGATTTATAGCATATTTGTCACAGGCTATTCGATATGCTCTGCAGCACTTAGTTGTCTTCCATTGACTGTAACTTTTTAACAAATTGCTCGATTAACACAAATTAGGTGTCATATTGAAGGGCAAATATTTGTCTTTGTTATAGAATCGGCAAAATGCATTTCAGGTTATTATTTCATATTGTAACTTTCTAACTCATTTTTTCACAAACAACATTACATATATATGAAAACTGTAAATAGATCTCAAAATTGCCAGACTTCTTAGCTTTCATATGACACCAAATTTATTCAAATATCGCCAGTAGTTCAAAAGTTATGGCCTGGAGTCATCAAATTTTCATTTTCGCCATTTCATGCTACTGCATCAATAGATGGCGCTGCGGTCGCAAACGTGTCAGGTCGTTACGGAAAATTAAGGTAATAGTAAAATTGAAATAACTTTTGAATGGATTGTGCGATTTGGATAATTTAAACGGTTGTGTGGAGCTTAAAACACACCGCTTATATGTCTACAAAAACAAACTTTAGATATCGATCACTATTTGGTAAATAATGCTACCAAATAATGGCAAGGCTTAATAGGAAGATTTCTATGAGAGTTATTTAAACAATATAGGTGTTTATAAATAGGGGACTTTTTAAACTGTACATAACCGTTTAAATTTTCTGAATATTACAATCCATAAAATATTATTTCAATTTGAACTAAACCTTGATTTTCACAAACCATTTCAAATTTTTTGAAGATTTGAAGTGGTTTTGGAATTGCTGGACTTCTTAGTTTTCATATGACACCAAATTTATTCGAATACCCCCAGTAGTTCAAAAGTTATGGCACAAAACCTGGAGTCACAAAATTTTCATTTTCGCCATTTCAATCTACTGCACCAATAGATGGCGCTGCGGTCGCAAAAGTGTCAGGTCGTTACGGAAAATCAAGGTAATAGTAAAATTGAAATAACTTTTGAATGGATTGTGCGATTTGGTTAATTTAAACGATTATGTGCAGCTTAAAACTCACCAATTATCTGAGTGCTAAAACATATTTGAAATGTCGATCATAACTGGGTGAAAAGTACCAGAAAATAATGTGAAGCGTTAATAGAGAACTTTCTATGCGATTTGTTCTAACGAAATAATTACGTATGTATGGAGGATTAAAGCTGTACATGGCCGTTTAAATTATAAAAATCGCACAATCCGTTCAAAAGTTATTTCAATTTTACCATAACCTTGATTTTCCCTAACGACCTGACACTTTTGCGACCGCAGCGCCATCTATTGGTGCAGTAGATTGAAATGGCAAAAATGAAAAATTTGAGGCCATGGGTTTTCTGCCATAACTTTTGAACTACTGGCGGTATTCGAATAAAATTGGTGTCATACGAAAGCTGAGAATTCTGTCTTTTTCGGAATCTATTCGTATATATACAAAACTTTAAATGTTGTATGAAAATTAGGGTTTTGTTAATATTGAAATAAATTTTGAACGGTTGGTAATATTTGGAGAATGCAAACGATTGTGAGCAGCTTAAAGGGTTCCCTATTAATGAACCCTTATTTCCTCCAAACAACTCGCACAGAAAGTTATCTAATAAGGCTTGAGTTTATTTTGTTGCACTATTTACCAAATAGTGATCGATCTCTTAAATTTGTTTTACTACACATATAACCGGTATGTTTTCAGCTACACATAACCGTTTAATTTATTCAAATATCACAATTCGTTCAAAAGTTATATCAAATTTACCATTACCTTAATTTTCCATAACGACCTGACACTTCTGCGACCGCAGCGCCATCTATTGATGCAGTAGCATGAAATGGCGAAAATGAAAATTTGATGACTCCAGGTTTTTCTGCCATAACTTTTGAACTACTGGCGGTATTTTAATAAAATTTGTGTCATACGAAAGCCAAGATGTCTGGCTA